AGGCTCACCCACCACTGCCAGACCCCGCAGAGGGGAGGGCAGACCCAGCCCCTTCCCACCTGGGAGTGGATCTTTGCTCCACCGTCCCTCAGGTGCCAGCATAAAATGACACTGCAATGGCCACAGCCAGGAAGGAGGAAGGGAAGTGCTGAACACACACCAGGGAATGCTGCTGAGGCAGAAGGCAGTTTTGTCTCTGCCAGGAGGAGAAAAGTTGTGGCAAGCTGGGGCCTGGGATATGGGCAGGGCTGTGGCAACAAGACACAGGGATGGTCCAGGGTGGAAGAAGACCCGCAACAAGGGACCAAGAGGATGAGCAAGAGGTACCGGATGCCAGTTCTCAGGTCTGAGATGCACTAGGCACCCCCTTAGCCAAGACAGCCCTGCATGGCCCGGCTCCCCAGCCCAGTGAGGACCAGCCCAGGACCTGAGGACTGGTCATCACAGGTCATCCAGGTGATGAACTCCAGGTCATCACAGCGTCGGTTCATCTCCCACGGATTTGCCTTGGCAAGAGCAGGAGGGGGTGGGCACAGCACATGTGCAGCAGGGAAGAAAAGCAAAAAGCAAAAAGGACAAAATGTACAGGCTGGGGGCCCAAGATGTGGCTGTTCCTGCTGGCATTTTGGGTAATTGCTCTGCTGGGACACTGGTCCTTCTCTAAGGGGGGTAGCTGGGCAGACAGCCCAGCCTCCAAGGGCGTGAGAAGGGCATGGAGCTGGGCAGGAGAAGAGAGAGGAACTACAAATAGACCTGGGTGACTGGATCCTTCCCAAACCACTCGGCTGAGTGCACAGAGGATGAGAAACTGCATCCCTCAGGGCAGCTCAGATGCCAGGCATGTCTCTGGTTGAGCTCAGGCAAAAGCCAAAGGCACCCTGCACCTGATAACAGCCCCCCTTCACTGGGCTCTGGCGGAGGGGACCCCCCTGCAGTCTCACCCTGGTGCCTGTGATAAATGCCCAGCGATGTGAGTGTTGACTATGATATCAACCCCTGGTACTAGCACAGGCTGGGGGGATGAAGGGATGGAGGGTGACCTGCCAAGAGGGTGAAAAGCTGGAAATGAGCTGGCAACGTGCGCTGGCAGCCCGGAAAGCCCCCCACATCCTGGGCTGCATCCCCAGCAGCGTGGCCAGTAGGGTGAGGGGGGAAATCTGCCCCTCTGCTCCGCTCTGGGGAGACACCCCCCCGCCCTCAGTGCTGCCTCCAGCTCTGAGGCCACCAACATCAGAGGGATACGGAGCTGATGGAGCAGGACCAGAGGCCACGGAGATGGTGGGAGGGCTGGAGCCCCTCTGCTGGGAGGACAGGCTGAGAGAGTTGGGGGGTTCAGCCTGGATAAGAGAAGCCTCCAGGGACACCCTAGAGCCCCTACCAGTCCCCAAAGGAGCCCCAGAAAAGATAGGGACAGTGCACAGAGGATGAGAAACTGCATCCCTCAGGGCAGCTCAGATGCCAGGCATGTCTCTGGTTGAGCTCAGGCAAAAGCCAAAGGCACCCTGCACCTGATAACAGCCCCCCTTCACTGGGCTCTGGCGGAGGGGACCCCCCTGCAGTCTCACCCTGGTGCCTGTGATAAATGCCCAGCGATGTGAGTGTTGACTATGATATCAACCCCTGGTACTAGCACAGGCTGGGGGGATGAAGGGATGGAGGGTGACCTGCCAAGAGGGTCTTGGGGGTGCTGAGGGTGAAAAGCTGGAAATGAGCTGGCAACGTGCGCTGGCAGCCCGGAAAGCCCCCCACATCCTGGGCTGCATCCCCAGCAGCGTGGCCAGTAGGGTGAGGGGGGAAATCTGCCCCTCTGCTCCGCTCTGGGGAGACACCCCCCCGCCCTCAGTGCTGCCTCCAGCTCTGAGGCCACCAACATCAGAGGGATACGGAGCTGATGGAGCAGGACCAGAGGCCACGGAGATGGTGGGAGGGCTGGAGCCCCTCTGCTGGGAGGACAGGCTGAGAGAGTTGGGGGGTTCAGCCTGGATAAGAGAAGCCTCCAGGGACACCCTAGAGCCCCTACCAGTCCCCAAAGGAGCCCCAGAAAAGATAGGGACAAACTTTTTAGCAGGGTCTGTGGAGACAGGACAAGAGTTGAGGGTGAAAAGCTGGAAATGAGCTGGCAACGTGCGCTGGCAGCCCGGAAAGCCCCCCACATCCTGGGCTGCATCCCCAGCAGCGTGGCCAGTAGGGTGAGGGGGGAAATCTGCCCCTCTGCTCCGCTCTGGGGAGACACCCCCCCGCCCTCAGTGCTGCCTCCAGCTCTGAGGCCACCAACATCAGAGGGATACGGAGCTGATGGAGCAGGACCAGAGGCCACGGAGATGGTGGGAGGGCTGGAGCCCCTCTGCTGGGAGGACAGGCTGAGAGAGTTGGGGGGTTCAGCCTGGATAAGAGAAGCCTCCAGGGACACCCTAGAGCCCCTACCAGTCCCCAAAGGAGCCCCAGAAAAGATAGGGACAAACTTTTTAGCAGGGTCTGTGGAGACAGGACAAGAGTTTAAATTAAAAGAGGGATGATTTAGACTAGATATAAGGAAGAAGTGTTTTACTCCTGCCCCTCTGCTCCGCTCTGGGGAGACACCCCCCCGCCCTCAGTGCTGCCTCCAGCTCTGAGGCCACCAACATCAGAGGGATACGGAGCTGATGGAGCAGGACCAGAGGCCACGGAGATGGTGGGAGGGCTGGAGCCCCTCTGCTGGGAGGACAGGCTGAGAGAGTTGGGGGGTTCAGCCTGGATAAGAGAAGCCTCCAGGGACACCCTAGAGCCCCTACCAGTCCCCAAAGGAGCCCCAGAAAAGATAGGGACAAACTTTTTAGCAGGGTCTGTGGAGACAGGACAAGAGTTTAAATTAAAAGAGGGATGATTTAGACTAGATATAAGGAAGAAGTGTTTTACTCTGACGGTGGTGAGACCCTGGCCCAGGTTGCCCAGAGAGGTGGGAGATGCCCCATCCCTGGACACAATCCAGGCCACGTTGGACAGGGCTCTGAGCAATATAGTCTAGTTGAAAATGTCCCTGCTCATGGCAGGGGGCTGGACTAGATGGCCTTCACCTTTAAAGGTCCCTTCCCACCGAAACTAAACTAAACTACTCCACTCCTACTTTACTGTATTCTTTCCTACCCTATTCTTTTTATTCTTTCCTATCCTACTCTATCTTTTCGTGTTGCACCCAGGTTTGACAACATCAAGCATAGAGGAGCCAAACTGAGGTAAGTTGGCAGGAGCTGCCCTGGCTGGGGACAGCAGATACCTGTTCCAGCTGTTCCCAGTGTGGACCACAGCTTCACACAGCAGTTTTCAGGTGTGATCAGAGCCCTGGAGAAGCATTTACAGATCTGTGCACAGAGGGAACAGAGCCTGAAGAGAAGATGTTCACCTATGTCACCCAGCGCATCGCTTACAGATCTGGCCACAAAGCCTGGTCTCATGGCTCCCGGAGCATCACCAGCCCCCATAGTTAAGGGTGCCGAAGTGGACACAGACCAGACACACTGGTGAGAGTCAGGGACTCAGAAGCAGCTTGGCCAGGCCATGGCAGCAGCTCGAGATCAGCCTTGCAGCTCGTGGGGGGACCAACAGGCCCATCACCCCCCCAGCAGTGGTCCCACAGGAATCGGGCCTGGGGCCAGCGCTGCTGGGATGTTCCTCTGTGCCAGGACAGCAGCGGCCGCAGGGCAGGGGGAGAGCTGCCCTGGCTCTGCACAGAGCGGCATTGAGCGGGGACAATGATCCTCTCTTTCTTTGAAAGCCCTCACAGGCTCCCATCCAAGCAAAGGCATGAAATGGGAACCAAGGGCAATTATCATCCCCTCCTGGCCCTGCCTGGGACTTGTGGCTGCCCAAGGCAACACTTGAAAGAGACCGCAGCAAAGATCCCTCTTCCAGCTGGGTGGGGGACTTGGCTCGGGTCCCCCTCCTGGCTCCGCTCCTGGCAGGGACAGCTCAACCCTGGAGGGCTCTGCCCACCCCACAGCCTGGCTGTGCTGAGGGGCAAAGGCAGGTGACTCCAGCCAGTGTAGAGCCCCAGGTTTGTCCCAAGCAGGTGCTGCCACCCTCGGCACAGGCCAGAGGCATGTGTGCCACAGTACACCATGCCAGCGGGGTCCCCTCTGGCTGCCCCCAAGAGCACCACGGCCACCACTGCCCACAGCCACAGGGGCCAGCTTTGAGGGAGGGGGCTTAAAAAGAAATAAGAGATTGTGAACTACACCAGTATCCCAGTGCAGCTTCTGGAGGAGCAGCCAGATGAAGCTACATGCACTGGAAGGGGGGGCAGGTGGTTTCATCTCCCCATCCCACAACAGCGAGGAGAGACCAAGGGTCCCCAGCCCCAGAGCACAGGGAGGCCCAGAGGGGATGGGAACATCGCCTGTCGCAGAGACCCTCTGGCCTCCTCATGTTCAAACTATGATTGTGCAACCTCAACTCACCCCATATCCCCTGGAACAGGACAGTCTGGAACTTGGTCTAGAGAACAAGTCATACAAGGATAGGCCGAGAGAACCGGGCATGTTTAGTTTGGAGAAGAGAAGGCTGAGGGGAGACCTCATTGCCCTCTACAACTACTTGAAAGGAGGGTGTAGAGAGGTGGGGGGTTGGCCTCTTCTCCCAAGGCAATAATGACAGGACCAGAGGAAATGGTCTGAAGTCGCAGCAGGGAAGGTTTAGATTAGATATTAAGAAGAATTACTTTACAGAGAGAGTGGTCAGACACTGGAATGGCCTGCCCAGGGAGGTGGTGGAGGTATTTAAGAAACATGTAGATGTGGCACTTCAGGGCATGCTCTAGTGCCTGAGATTGTTGGGTATGGTGATTGCTGTGGTGATGGGGTGTTGGTTTTTTTGTTTTGGTGTTGTGTTGTTTGGTTTTATTTTTTTTTAATGGTTGGACTTGATGATCTCAAAGGTCCCTTCCAACCATGAAGATTCTGTGATTCTATGATTCACAACTCACAGCAGCAGATAGGCTGATTTAGACAGAGAGACAGAGGGATAAATTAAGTAGTTCACCCCACTTTATTATTCCTACAGAAAGGTGACTCTCCTCATAAAGAAGGTCACTTTTATGTAAACCTCAGGCAAAACAGGTACTGGACACCAAAATGGCATCATAAAGAGATGGCAGGTACCGATGTCCAAGGGACAACGGTACTGATGCCCAGGGGACAACTAACACCCTACTCTTGCAGGCAGGGACACAACTAGCCATGGCCTTGATCCTCTTCCTCCTCCCTCTCCCTGGGAGAGGCACAGGACAACAGGAAAAAGGGCAGAGCAGGGATTCATGCTTTACAGTAAAGATCAATCTCAAAGACGGAGCTGGATGGGACAGACAGCACAGAGAGAGAAAAACAGGAGTGAGAAAATAATTGGTCTGTGTGGTGCCCAGCCCAGGGCAGGACCAGCTCTTTCTGCCCAGCTCAGTGCATTGTGCCATGGCATCATACGAGGAGAGTCAGAGCATGAAACAACCCTAGAGAGAAAGGTCCTGGTCTTGGAGATACGGAGGGACAGGCCTGTGCTACATGGGGAATTCACAAGGATCTCCTATGAAAGTACCATAAATACCAAGTGCAGTGGAAGACATTGTTCAGCTCAAGCATCACTGAGCTGGGTGAGAAGGAGGAGATATTTTGAGATGCACCAGTCTAACAGGACCCACGATTAGACCACCCCACCTGCCCCAAGAGACCTGAAGAGGGGTGCAGTTCACTCAGGATGTCACCCCAAGGAGCCAGCATTCACCACCATGACAGGCAAAGCTGCCATGTCTCCACTTGGAGATGCGCAAAGGGAAGGGCCCATCAGCCTCTGCTCCATCACCCAACTTCAGTTAAATACAAAACCTTGTCCTAAAGCCCCTCTGTGAAGTCAGGCTTGTGTCAGCATCCTTGTGCTGTAGGAAATCACCTCTCTTTTTAAAGTCATCATGAAAAACATATAAGTCTGGCAGTGATAAGGAAACATTTGCTGGGTTAAGCCAAATAAAGGGATGTAGATGTCTCTGCCTCAACCTGCAAACAACCTGGAACAGCAGCTCAGAGGTACAGGCTACCTCGTTTGGGTCTATGGCTCATTAACTACAGGAGCCTGCAGACATGTAAACAATGACTATGGCATCACTACCACAAACTGGAAAGAGGGATTACCCCAGCAGGAGCACCAGCTCCGGCACTGCTCTGGCCCAGTACGGTGTTACTGGCAGGCACAACTCAGGCAGTAGAAAGCAGACAGGTATGCCCCATCAGATTTTTCAATCTTGTCCTCCAACAGTGGGACAAGGCACCGTTCGACAACCAGGCTCGCCTGGAGATGTGTTGAAGATGCATCACCTTTTTCTGAGAGCAGCCAAAATTCAGCCTAAGTCAGGCGACCGGCACAGCAGCTGCCACCCACACAGGCAGCATGGGCAGCAGGTGCTTCCCCAGCACATCAGGGATCACCGGGCTGGGGGTACAGTCCTTGCAGTCCCTTCAAAGACAGAAAAGGAGCAGCTTGAGAGCAGTACATCTGGAAAGCCCAGCAGCAGAGCAGTGAGGGGATGCTCCCCAGGCAGAGTCAGGAAAACCTTCCCGGCTTCCTCCTGCAGAGATGCCATCTGGAGCAACTGGTGTGACGGGTTTTAGGCAAAAGTCCCATGAAAACCCCAAGGAAGCTCAAGGACAGCGCACAGGGAGATGGTTGCTAAATGAAGGTAGAGTCCAGCTGGCTCGTTTCATGGCTATTGCGGGCGCGAGCCTCGAAGAGCTGCTTGATCAGGGCAGATTTCTCCTGCTCCAGCTGGGTGATACGTTCACTCTTGTCAGTCACCTCCTGCATGGGACAGAGGAGGAAAACACTGGCACCATAAACTAGTTAAACTATCCATGAGCCAGCAATGTGCCCTTGTTGCCAAGAGGGCCAATGGAATCCTGGGCTGTGTAGGGAGAAGTGTGGCCAGTAGGTCGAGGGAGGTCATTCTCCCCCTCTGCTCTGCACTGGTGAGGCCACAACTGGGATCCTGCGTCCAGTTCTGGGCTCCCCAGTTCAAGAGAGACAGGGGACTGCTGGAGAGAGTCCAGCGTAGGGCAACTAAGATGATGGAGGGATTGGAGGATCTCCCTGGTGAGGAAAGGCTGAGAGAGCTGGGACTCTTGAGCCTGGAGAAGAGAAGGCTGAGGGGAGACCTTATCAATGCTGACAAGTGTCTAAAGGGTGGTTGCAGGACGATGGAGCCGGACTCTTTCCAGTGGTTTCCAGCAATAGGGCGAGGAGCGATGGGCACAAGCTGGAACATGGGAAGTTCCATTCAAATACAAGGAAAAACCTCTTTCCAGTGAGCATGCCAGAGCCCTGGCAGAGGCTGCCCAGGGAGGGTGTGGAGTCCCCGTCTCCGGAGATCTTCAAGCCCCACCTGGATGCTCCTGAGTGATGTGCTCTGGGCAACGCTGCTTTGGCAGGGGAGTTGGACTAAAGGATCTCTAGAGGTCCCTTCCAACTCTGACAATTCCGTGATTCTGTGGCACATTTGCTGCTGGGATGTGAATCCCAGCGATGAGCCTGGCCCAGGCAGGGCCATCACAGGTGCCCCTTCCCCAGCAGCCCTGCTCCCAGACCCCTACTGCAGCACCCTTGGCACCCTCTCGTGGCTTCTCCATCAGGCTGGGACCTGCCTGTGGACCCTTACCCAGCAAACAATTAGGCACAGCTGTGTGATGGGGGGGTCTCTAAGTGCAGCCCCCATGCTTCAATGACCAAGCTTGGCCAAACTGAAAGAACACCTTCCAATGCCTCATATTCCTTCCCCAGCCGCATCCCAGCCTCCCTGCTCTCCTCCCAGCACCCCCCAAAGGCAATCTCCTTCCCCCATATTCCCACTCACTTTAGTGAGAAGCCGGTTTTGCTCCTTCAGCATGTTGATGGTTTGCTGTGAGCCTGCTGAGGCTGGGGACACCACAGGGACCAGCCTGCCCAGGGCTGAGGAGGAGTTTGCTGGCTGCAGAGAAGATGAAGGGAAGGGATGAGACATTGAGCTTTCTTCCCAGAGGCCCTCCCCAGCCCTTCTCCAAGGTCAGAAGCTGTTTCTGTGGCACAGGGGGAACTGAGAGAAGCCCAGCGCCGGACTAAGAACCCAGCACAGGCCATCGCAGGGTGTCCAGCAAGGCAAGCAGAGGTGGGAAATGTTCCTATGTTCCTGCCAGGAGCCCAACAGGACAGCCAGCTCTGAAAGGGCTGACTCAGCACCTCAGCAGGATGGCTTCCTTATTGACGCCTTTTTGGGGATCTCCTTTAGTCCCCCAAATGCTTTGAGCGTCCTCCAGCCCAGCTCTTGGCCATCCCCCATCTTGCCCACGGAGTCAAGTCACCTCCCCAGAGCCCGGGGGAACTCTGGCAGCTCCAATGTCAGCCCAGCCACCAGCATAACAAGGGTCCCAAGCTCACGCAAACAACCACATGCTGCTAATCTGCTGCTCTCACCTTGCCAGCGGTGGAAAGGAGGTCACCCAGGCAGCTGTTCACCTCCTGCAGCTTGGGGAGCAGGTGCCCCAGGTGGCTCTGGCCGCCTTCAGGGAGGAACTCCTGGGGGACAGGAAGGAAGAAGATGATGCTGGGGGTTACTATGGGGCTGACTCCAGCTCCAGCCAAGTCCCAGCCCGGTTCTCCAAACCCACAAGCAGCTGTAGACCATCCCAAGCAGATGGACACCCCAAGAACAAGCCCTAGACTCACAGCACTGGTTTTGTTCTTCCCCAGGAGCCTTTGGCGTTCCTGCATGAACTGGATGTGCTGGTGGTACCACTCCCAGGTGCGCTCTACCAGCTCCAGACCTTGCAGCAGGAAATCCTTCTCCTGTTCCAGCTCCTTCATGTGCTTCAGCTGCAGGACAGAGCATGCAGAGATGTCACCCCCTCCCCACCAAGGCCTTGTCAAGCCCCAGGAGCTAGTTTCTTCACAAGGCGCAGAGGGAAATGGATACAGGCTGGGGCCCCAGCTCCTCTCTCCGTGCAAAGCTGCAGAAGAGCGGGATGATGATGGCTGCTGCCTGATGCTGCTCTGGGGGAAGAGTCCTCCGGCTTGGGAGAACAACCAAAGCAGGCCAAAGACAGTTAGGCCACCTCCACCCTCCTGCTCTCCACTGCAGAAGGAGGTTTCTCCACATTGGATGCAGCAAGAGCAGGGCCTGCAGCCTCTCCCCAGATCCCCCCAGGCTGTGAGGGCCAGCCAGCAGCACAAACACACACGGATCTCAGCAAGCAGCTGAGCTACACACAGACTGGAAGCCAGGGGAAAATGTGTGACTCTGTTTCCCCAGCACTCTGTTCCCTCCTCTGCTTCACCCCCAAGGCAGCTCCGAGCTGCCTGCCTTGCTGCCTCTGCCCTCTCTGCCACAACACAGCCTGGCCCCACTGCCCACAGCACAGACTGAGCTACAGGAGAGTCTCCTCCAGGCACCAGCGGGACTTTGATCACCCAGAAGCTGCTGGATGCTCAGGAACCTCTCCTGCTGCTTTGGAGAGATCTGGAGGGGGACAACTTAGCTCAGAAGTGACCCCAAACAGATCCCCACTCCTGGAGACAAACGAGACCATACCAAGACTTTCTTCAGGCTGCCAGCATTTCCCCATCCCTACTGCCAGCCCCAAAGTCACCCAACCACCCCAGGCCATCCACGCTTTACACCAGGGCTGCTCTTCAAATGCTGTTTGCAACACGACAGTCCTCCCCCACCCCTCATCCCCCCAGCTTGGATGGACAGACAGACCAAAGAGGACATACCCACAGGAAGAAGCACAGAGCCTTGGTGCTAGACAGGCTGTTGCTGAGGGGCATGAAGAAGGTGCTGTATGTGCCAAGGACCCCCACCCAGCTCAAGCTGCATCCTGTGACTGCCTGGTCTGGCCTGGCACCACCAGGCTTGCTGGCCAGCACAGTGACCGGAGGAAGAGGCAGCATCCCACAGAGCAGTGGAACATCAGCAGCTCTGCCGGGCGCAGGGACAGATGGCATTTCACTAAGGGCGGGATGCTCTGGGGCAGAGGCAGCTTCTGGGGCAGGAAGAAGAGAGTGCTGGATGTGGTTGGTGGTCCCCGGGGCAGAAGGGGAGGGGACAGTGCCGTACCCTGGGCTGCCTACAAATGAAAGCGCTCAGCCTGTCACAGAAGGTCTCATCCCCCCTGCGGCCATGAGGAAATCAGGCCAATCAATGATGGACTGGCTGAAAAGCACCAGCTGAGCAGACACCAGCTGTGGTGGTGCAAAGGGTCCCAGGGTCCACAGCGCAGTCCCCACACCTCTGCTTCACTGCTCAGGGTGAATCCATCCCAGTGCACCCCAGGATGCGGGATGGACACCACTGCTCCCATCTCCCTTAAGGCAAATTAGCTTATTCCCAGCTGAGTGTATTGTCTCTGGAGGACCAAACATCCTGCCAGCTCCAGCAGGGCAGCAGTACCACCCATCGCAGGGATTCAGTCCTTGCTGGACTTAAACCTCTTCCAGCTCTGTACACTCAGAAGTGGGATCAGTACCCGAAGGTTCCAGCCAGGGAAGGTTTCTCACCAGTGGGAAAGGGACAGGGATCCCTTCTCTGGAGGGAGGAGCATGCAAAAGGCAGTGCAGCACTCGGGCACATGGGGAGGGGAAAAGGAAGGCAGAAGATCTCCCTTATACTGGCCCCCCAAAACCTTGGGGAAGCAGAGGCAAGGGCAACAAAAGCCCAGGGCAAGAGTGCTTGTGGCACAGCTGGGAACAGACCCTAGCTCTCAGCAAGACATGTTGGCCACCAGCCCCTTCTCACCAGGGCAGGACCTTGCTCACCACTCAAGGCAGGACCTTGAGCTCCCAGCAGTGATGGGCTCCAGCATGGAGCTGCGCGCACGGGGAAGAGTCTTGCTAGGGAAGGAGGGAACCTCCCCTCTCCGAAGCAGCAACTCCCAGCCACCAAAACCAGACAACCCCATCCCCAGATGCACACATCTACATTTATTAGTCCGTGCCAGCACCTCTCAGCAGACACCTCTCAGCCCGAGAGCACCCCAGCCCCGTCCAAGGCTGCTTGCCCAGCAAACCATGTGTGCACAAATCTGCCTCCCCAGGCCAGGCGGCAGAGCACGTTATGTCCCGCAAGGCCTGGGCCAGGCTGTAATTGATGCTACCTGTGCCACTGTTCAGCCCCGCTGGCTCATGGAGCCAGGTGACACCAGGGCACAAGCAGTGGAAGTGCAGAGGTGACAGCCACAGCCTCGGCAGCAGCTCCAATACCCGCCGGAGCTTGTCCTGCCAGTCACTCATCCTGCAGGCCGGGTCCTGGCGTTCTTCCCAGGAAAATATAGCTTAAGCATGTGGGGAACATGCCCAGGCAGCTTCTCCATCCCACTTAGGAGCGGTAGGGATCCCTCCATCCTGGGCTGCCCAGCTAAATTCAATGCTGATTTCTCTGCATTACTGGCAAAAAGTCTCTCGGGAGCCAGGAGGATCAGCATGCTTGAGCCCTGACCTGCAGAGAACATCTGGCAGGGGATGCAGCCCAGCACCACCGCTCACTAGCACAGAGCATACCCGACCCTCGCTGGAGCGCTTGAAAGGCCCAGAGACCCACCAGCTCGTACACCTACAACTCTGCCTTTCTTTGCCGAAGGATTTGCCCACTGGGAAGGCACCCGTGCAGTTAAACAGTGACTCCATGGGCTGACTCCACACTGGGGGAAGGCAAGGGAACATGTGCTTCCTCCCTGTCTGGCACAATTTGGGACAGAAAAAATCTCGGATGTACCTCCACATACATCAATGGAGCTTTATATCCAAAATATAAGGATGTGCCTGGACACCCCACAGCTCACATGTGCAGGCTGGGCAAGGAGGAGCCACAGCCCAAACAGAGCTGGTGTCACCAGTGAGGGATTCCTGCAGTCCACCTTCCCCTGGGAGCACGGGCCCCTTTGCTGAAGCCCATGACAGGGCTGTCCCCTTACCACATTGAAGTCCACGCCATTGGTGATGGTGTGTCTGCGGTGTTCTGCACGTCCCCTCTGATGCCTCCGAGTGTCCCCAGCCCCTGGATGGCTACCATCTCCCCGGGACTGCCCAGCAGCTTTAGTATCACCACCTGTAACAGAGGAAATCATGAGGCTACCAGCCGGTTGCAACAAAAACCTCCCCACAGCCACTTCTCGGGGACCTCTATCTGTAGGGTGGTCTTGCAAATAGACGTGGCAGGGAGCAGCTGAGCAAAGCACTGGCTTGAGCACCTACTTGCATCTGTGTATGGGCAGGACAGGCTTCAGCAACAATCGACTTGACCGCGCCAGGCTGGCAACAGACCTCAGTAGTCATCTTCTGCAAAAAGCAGGCAGCTTCCAGACAATGCTGATTCAGTCCCGGCACAGGTAGTTAAACCATAAATAATACTGCCTACCCTCGTCCTGTCCTTACGGGACCCCTGAGTCCTGCTTGGCTGGCACAGGCTCTGCCAGGAACACAACTCCTCTTGGAGGCAGCTCCTGCTTGGTGATGGGCTTGGCTGTGCAGACGTACCCCTCCAGACCCTGTGTCTGTGGGCCAACCATAGAGTACATCAGGCTGTAGGTTTTCCAAAATTTTATTAAAATCCCAAAATTCTGTCTTGCAAAAGACGGATCTACTACAAATACATGACGTGGTTGCAAATCCATGCATAACCTATTTTTGCAGATTAAGTTCATACTGGCAGGTTTTAGGCTGGATCAGACACCTCCTGCCTGGACATCAAAGCAGGTATTGGCCAGGCACCTGCAGAAAAGTCAGTACAAGCCCCACATCACCTGCTCAGGCAAACTTGCCAGAAACACAACCCTGCAGCCCCAGCCAAGCCAGCTTACATCCCCTGCTTCTGGCCGAGCTGGAAAAGCTCCAAACCACAGTGCCAGTGCAGCCAAGGGTGCAGCCAGCACCCTCCCTAAACTTGCCTGGGCAGCAAGGCGGCTGCACCTCCCTTTTTGCCCTGGTGCCCTGCAGACCTTGCCTTGTGCTCACCCCCTCACTCTTGCAGCTCACCATGCTCTCTGCGCGCAGCTTTTCTCAAGAGTTTCTTTCCCAATCTGGCTTTCAAACAAGAGCAAGCGAAGGCAGGCAGTGAGGCAGCTGGGGAAAACATCTCCTCCTTGGGACCGCTCCCCAGGTATCTGCCCCACCCCCACCTGTTGCCACATCCTTCTCCCACAGGCTGGGCACACACCAGCTCCCAGGCAGCAAAGCTGCCTTGCCCAGGGCTAGCACATTCCCTGCTGCATGGGCACCAAGAGCTCTTGTGCCTGCTGGGACAGGGCACACCACCACCTGCTCCTCCACAAGTCTTGTCAGCTGAGCACATGGACACGATGGATGAGGGAGATGGGGCAGGAGAGGGCAGCCATGGCCATAGGAGCTACCCCTCACCTTGAAGGCACCAAGGTCTGGGAGTGTTGCCCCACACTGGGGCTGCCTGTGCTGCCACATTTGCACTGGTTCTGCCATGGGAGCTGGAGTCAGGCTCCTGTGCTGCTCCTTCTGGTCCATCATGGCATCCCACTTCTCCTACCAGCAAGCGGTCCGGCACAGACAGATCTCCGGCACATCAATAAACACAAAGTCTTTAATATCTCCCATTCATCCGTTTTGCCAAGTGTCTGGTTTCACAAACCCATATCTACCTGGAAGGAAGCCAGTAAGACCAGTGCAACCACATATATGTTCTCCTAGCAGACCTGTATCACATCCTGCTTGGGAAGCTGAGGAATATCCCCAAAACCAAAGGTAGCTTCAAAAGGCAGAATCCCAAAGCAAAGCCAGGAGCACCTCTGGGAAGAGCTGCAGGGTAAAAACAACACAGTAAAAAGGTTTTTGCTGCTGTTACTTGGAAATGCCAGGCTGAGCTGAGCCTATGATAAGAAGGTGATTCCTGGTCAAACAACTGATCTCCATGCACCTGAGCTGACAACGTAGTGGCTAAAACAGGATGCCACTAATGAACTGGGATCAGTTTTTTTAGGCAAAGAGCATGACCAGCTCACCAGAGGTGGAAGAGATCCTGCCATGAGATATGATCCTCCTCCCTCCCAGAGCCACCTTCTCCCTGCAGGGCCTGAGCCCAGCATTCTCCAGCCAGAGCAAGTGCCCAGGACCATGACACCTCATGGGCGTTTTACACATTTACATCCCTGTCTTTGGCAATGGCCCAGACAATAACTGTTTCAGGAGCAGCGTGTTGGGTAGGACTCAGGAGGTGATCATCCCCCTGTACTCAGCACTGGTGAAGCCCCACCTTGAGTACTGTGCCCAGTTTTGGGCCCCTCACCACAAAAAAGACATTGAGGGGCTGGAGCGGGTCCAGAGAAGGGCAACGAAGCTGGTAAGGGGTCTAGAGAATAAGTCTTATGAAGAGAGGCTGAGGGAGCTGGGGTTGTTCAGCCTGGAGAAAAGGAGGCTGAGGGGAGACCTTCTCCCTCTCTACAACTACCTGAAAGGAGGTCATAAAGAGGTGGGGGTCGGTCTCTTCCCCCAAGTCACAGGTGACAGGACTAGAGGAAACAGCCTCAAGTTATGCCAGGGGAAGTTCAGATTGGATATTAAGAAGAATTTTTACACTGAAAGGGTTATCAAGCATTGGAATGGGCTGCCCAGGGAAGTAGTTGAGGCACTATCCTTGGAGGTGTCCAAAAGACAGGTTGACATGGTGCTGGGGGACATGGTTTAGTGATGGTTTTTTTGTCAGAGTTAGGTTGATGGTTGGACTAGATTATCTTGAAGGTCCCTTCCAACCTAGATGATTCTATGATTCTTTAACAGCTACCTACAAACCATTGCCTCCTTCCTGTGGGTCCACCAGCTCTCCAGGCAGCTGCCAGAGCTGGGCCACCCCAGCAGCAAAGGCAAGTGCTGCGCTGGGGGAGGAGGCAGTGCCCAGGGCCACCACCTCCTGGCAAGGCACTTTCTGCTCTGTGTCTTAACTTCCCCAGGTCTCAGCTCTCAGAGGAACCCCAAGGGTAAAGACCCCCAACATCGAGATGCTTGTATGCTACTACGACAGGCCACCTTGGCACCAGTGGTAGGGAAGCCATCATGGTGACTTCTGAGTCCAAGCTCTTCTTCAATATCAGCCTCATCTGCCTTGTGCCTGGCAGATGCTGTTGGCTCCCCAGAGACTGTAGCTGGTGTCCAGCAGTGGCTCATGGGCTGCTCCAGTACCACCAGGCTGACGAGAGCTTCTGAGGAGCTGGAAGCTGACTCTGAGCAGGGATTTCTTCAGAAGAGCTTCTGCCCATATGCTAGTGGAGGTTAGCAGGGACGAGGGGACAGAATCGCTGTCCCGCTGGCTCATTGCACCCCTGGATGCACCAGGAGGATCACCTGGCCCCAACCTCTGCCATCTTGCCACAATTCCACATCCAAATCACCTCTGACGCATGCAGATGCCCTGCTGGACCAGGAAGCAGAGCTAGGGTGGCATCCCGTGAGCACCTCCTTCCCCCAAAACACAGACAGGGTTTCCTCAGACTCTTTGCAGCTGATGAGCACTGGTATGCCATCTCCCTGCCCTTGATTGGGTTCTTACAGAAGCTACCTCGTGCAGCTGGAGCCTCAAGCCCAAACAATACAATTGGAATGGAGACAGGGCTTCTGGGATTCACAGGCATCTCTCAGCACCAGGTATACTTCTCCACAGGAAGAAAGAGCCATGTCCTGCCACGGCGGTGCCCAGCTCCCTCGCAGCCAGCTGAGGAGAATATCTACTGGTTCAACCACTCTCCAGGAAACCCTCCCCGGTGGCAGGGAGCACTGGGCAGCTGTGCAGGACCTGGACATAAAGAGACAGAATAACTCTGAGTTATAACATTTGCTAAGCTGCTGAATCAACCTGAAATTCAGGCCTGTTGGCAGAACAGTCCTGCACTGCGGGGAGCTGGCAGCGAGGGCTGAGGAACTAACCCTGCCCGCAGGCTCCAGACATCAGCGTAACATCAGCCTCTAAAGGAAAGATCCTCCGCAACCAGAAAGTTGCTGTAGTCATCTGCTTGCTCCTTCCCAGGGCAGAGTCTTCAATCTGATGTTTATTTATCAAGCAGGATTTTTTTTTCAGGTTTTTCCAGATTTATACTCTTGATGACAGAAGAACCAGCCTGCTTAATAATATTCCCTTAGATGAAGCTCCAGTGATTAGTCTGGAGGCAAAGTGGAAAGCAGAGAACCTCCGCCACGGTTAAAGTTTCTTCTCCACCCAGCAGAAGAAGGGACTGGGAGGGTGCGGGTGGGAAGGGAAGGCAAACCAGCCCAGACAACTTTCCCAAGGCAGAGGAAGTCATCACGCTCAAGTGTTGCAATAGCAAACACCAGCTCCTCACACAGACCTTTGTGTCAAAGTGCTTCACAACTCTAGATAAAGAATTATTACCTACACCAGGCAAGTCCAGAAGCCGGGTTTCCCCACTACGTCTCCTACTGCCCAGCCACAAATCAAGACGCCAGTGACAGTCTCCCGCTTGCTGAGGTCAGCGTGTCACCCAGGGCTGGGGGACCCTGGTAGACCCCACATGGGGACCCCAAGGAAGGGGCAGAGTCCACAGGGACCTGGGGATGAGCTCTGCAGACAGAGCCCTGGCCTGGCCACCCAGACAGCGCTCGGGGACAGCAAAGTGCATCTCCCTGATGCTACTTTCCCATTTAATTATTGCTGAATTATTTATTATTGTAAATAGTGCTGTGGAATTATCCAAACAAAAAAGTTGGATCAGGTTTCACTACTTTTTTTTGGTCTAGAACGTAGACAAAATAGTGAACCAAGCCTTTCTGAGGGGGCAGAGCCACAGCAAGGTGCCCACCCGGGCACAGGGCGCTCCCTGACCCCAGCTCTTGCTCCAGGGAAGCTGCAGGGCTCCCGGAGGCCCAGCGACCCCCCGAGAACACCTACCCCCAAGGAAGGTCACCTGCAAAGTTTATGCCAGGGGTTCGACCACCATGGACACGTTACGGTAAAGCCCTTAGTTCTTTCACCCCTATAAACAGCCAAGCCCCCAGGCAAGGAGGGCCATGAAGGGGAGCACAGACCCCGGGCGGGCAGGGCAGCAGTTGTGTCTCCCCCAGCCCGGCTCAGAGCCCACCCCAGCCAGACTGAGACCTGCAGGAGCTTTGGAGGAGTCTCACCCCAGTCCCGCGGGGGGAGCTTGCTGCTGGCTCCAAGGAAGCGGGATGCGCTGCCCGAGGACCGGAGCAAGCCCCGGGCTCCCAGCCCGCCCCCAGCCCCCCCACCGACAGTGCCCGCCGCTCTTCCCCCGCCGCTCCTCGGCACCGCGGGGGCTCGGCGGCTTCTCCGCGCCCCGCCGCCCGCCGCCGCTCTCCGGGGGGGGGTCAGCACCGGGCAGGGCGGCGCGCAGGCCCAGGACGAACCGCTCGAACGTGAGGTACCCGCTGGCCGGCGCCGCCCGCCGCAAGCCCTCCATCACCCCGGCGGGCAGCTCCTGGGCTTCCGCTCCCCGCCAGCGGGACTCGATCTCCCGTAGGTGCACGTAACCCCGCCGCCGGTCATCCAGGATATCGAAAAGAGTCCGCAGGCTCTGGAGGAACACCCGGGGGAGCCCCTCGGTACCGCCGGGGGGGAGCGACCGGTCGCCGCGCTCCGGGGCCATCGCCGCCGCCGCCGTTCCCGAGCGTTACTCGCCCCGCCCTCCCCGCGCTCCTATTGGTTGGAGGCGGGCGGTTCCGCGCGCTCATTGGTTGGCGGCGAGCGGCGGCGCCGGCCATTGGCTGAGGGGGAGGACGGCGGTTTGAGTTCCGCGAAACCCCCCCCCGCTCTCGGCCGGGAGAGGGGGCGAGGGGCTCCCAGTCTCTCCTCGCCCCTTCGCCCCCTCTCCCGGCCGAGAGCGGGGCCGACTCATGGAGGTCTCTCCTTCTCCATCCTACCGCCATCCGAGCCCCTGCAGGGGGAGATCGTGGCCACCGATTCATTGACCACCCACCCAAACGGTACGCCCTGCTCGAGAGACAGCAATGGAAGAAGAAAACAGCCTGTGCACCCATTCACACAGGAAACGAAAAAATCCCGACCAATCGTTAAAGAGAATAATATCACGGAATTCATAGAATCATAGAATCGTTCAGGTTGGAAGAGACCCTTGGGATCATCGAGTCCAACCATCTACCCTACTCTACATAGTCCTCCCCTACACCATATCCCTCAGTACCCCATCTAAACGTCCCTTAAACACAGCCAGGGACGGTGACTCCACCACCTCCCTGGGCAGCCTATTCCAATGCCCGACCACTCTTTCCGTGAAAAATTCCTTCCTAATGTTCAGTCTAAACCTACCCTGTTGGAGCTTGAAGCCATTCCCTCTTGTTCTGTCATTAATTACCTGTGAGAAGAGACCAGCACCAACCTCTCTACAGTGTCCTTTCAAGTAGTTGTAGAGAGTGATGAGGTCTCCCCTCAGCCTCCTCTTCCTCATACTAAACAGTCCCAACTCCCTCAGCCGCTCTTCATATGATTTGTCCTCCATCATCTTTGTTGCCCTACGCTGGACTCTCTCCAGCAGATCCCTGTCTCTCTTGAACTGGGGAGCCCAGAACTGGACACAGGATCCCAGTTGTGGCCTCACCAGTGCAGAGCAGAGGGGGAGAATGACCTCCCTCGACCTACTGGCCACACTTCTCCCTACACAGCCCAGGATTCCATTGGCCCTCTTGGCAACAAGGGCACATTGCTGGCTCATGGAAAGTTTGCTATCCACCAGGACTCCCAGATCCTTCTTCTCAGTAGTGCTTTAACTATTAGAGTATGTCATAATCCGTGTATCAAAAGGGAACTAAAACATGCTTCCATTTTGGGACAAGCACCCTATTTCTACGCATTAATGGAATAAACTTGAAAATACCTCTGCTTGGTGTGTTATTGACTTGCACACCAGGTAAAGAACCCAGATTTGGGACAACATAAAAACTCCAGAGCAAACATGGATGGTGAACAGGAAAAAAATAGCTCACCTCGACATGGTGTTTGTTCTCACTGCCAGCTTCACACTCACAGCCAAGAAGCATCTGTCCAGCTCCTCACCCCAGCAGCATCCTCATGGGGGAGGGATGTCCAGCTCTTCAGCGTCGGCATGGGGATGTCCTGTGTGCTTGACTTGTCTGGTGTTGCAGTGAAAGTGGGTGCTTCCAGCAGGGATTGAGGCCAGGTATCCCAGTGCAGCCAGTGCAGCACCAGTGGCCGACAGTCAGCAGGAGCTGGGGTAGGGCTCCAAAGGAACCACGGGCATGGAGGAAATAGGAAAGAAAAAATACCAGTGTTGACATGTGTGAGAGAAACAGGATTTGGATCATATCTCTGACAAACTTAGTACGAACTGGTATTGTTAAGAGAATGGGTTTCTCTAACTTATACTGAAATTTGCCATGTCTGTTAGATCCAACAGCACATCAGCCAGTGCTGCCGTCCCTTGCAAACTCCCACCGTCAGACAGTGTTGCAACAAAGCAGACAGAAAAACCCTGGTGTCACCATCCCATGTCACAGGCACTGTGACTCGCCTGAGGGGCCCTGGGCAACCATGAGCTGGCAGGTCCAGAGCCCCTGTCCTGGTCTGATGCTCATGATGCTGAGAGAAGGAGCATCAGGGACCGAGCGTGCTGGGGAAGGGTAACAGCCAGAAAGGGCAAATAGCCATTGTCTCAGGTTGTGAGGCTGCCTGTGCCACAGCCATGTCCCTGTGCCACGGACACCTCCCTGTGCCAAGGATGATTTCCGTTAGCTCTGAGTTGGTTTCAAAGGGACGGGGTGGCAGATGCTTGGTCCTTAAGCCCTCCTCTCCAGGCAGCTCTCGCTGTGCTCCCCTTCAGCTTCCCTGTCCGGGCCAGGCACTGCAACTCCATCCCGAGTGTGTTCAGCACCACAATTCCTTGGGCTTCTGAGCCCATTCTTGCCACTCCTTTTCTCCTCTCTGGAGTTCCTCAGCCCCATCAGACCTAGGCTGCCAGGTAAATCCGAAGCAGCCTCTGGAGACCCTCACTGGGCTTTTTTCTAGCAAGGACCTGTCTGGCTGGTCTCCTCTGTGCTATGGCCTGGCTGTTCACAGCCTGCTTTTCATTAAACCATTTATTTTCATAAATTTCCCGGACCTGTCCAAACTGTTTTGTGTTCTTTGCTTGGCTTTGCCATGTTTGACTGAGCAGCTGCGGAGGATACAGAGAGAGAAGGTGCATCATGCCTCCGCTTTCTGCTCTGGAAACAAGGCAGTGAATGTGATGCTGCTCACCTCCAGTAGCATCAGCACATGGGCTGTTTTGCTCAGCAAAGGCTAGATCTGTAGGAAAATGAGGTTTTTCCTAGGTTCCTCCCACACCTCTGGGCTTGCTGGAACAGCCAGGAATAATAGGAGAATTCAAAAGGACCTTAATTTCTCTTATCCCATTTCCATGCCTGGCAGGTCTGTCCCACCAGAAAAGCAATCTGGAGATACCAGGAACAATTCTGGACATTGGCCGTGTCTGGTGGTTCAGCTGAAACACTCTCACTGCTCTGTGTGGAGATTTCTGCTCTGGCAACAGTGAGCTGGGACAACTGCCCAGTGCAGCTCTGGTCTTACTACACTTTCCATACCAAAGTGCCCTCAACAGGCTGCCGTGACACAGGCCAATGTTTTCAGCCTGGTCGGGTGAATGAGGTTAAGGAGATACTGAAAATTCTAGGAAATGGCTTTTTTGAGGTTTGGGGTTTCTGGTTGGGTTTTTTGTTTGTTTGTTGGTTGGTTTTTTTTCTCCTCTCACTGAATATTTTACCTTGGGGCCAGCCCAGGCTCTTCTCATTAACAGGGCCATCTTTGTTTTTTTTTCATATAAGAAATGTAGTCATTCAGTTCTCCTTCCTCCAAGCTACTGGGAAGCACCAGCTGCCATTCAAGCCAGGCCCAGCCCTCCCTCACTGCTGGCCCACACGCACTGGTGGTGATGCTCATGGCTCCAGTGTGGTGGTACCCAGGGCAACGGTGCCCTCTCTGGGGAGGGCATGGGCCATCTGATGTCCCCTGGAAGGCTGGTGTGTCTCCCCAGGCCAGCATGTCCCACCAACCAGGGGGCATTGCCTCCCCTGGGAAGAAAGGTTGCAGCCAGAGCACTGGGGAAACAGGCTGTTGCTGGTGGAAACTGGGGCACCTTCCTACATGACACTGACCTTCTATGGCAGTAGATTAAAACCCATACTGACTTCAACAGTGTGTAGAAGTTCACTTGTGAATCTTGATACTGCAGAGGACACATGGTGACTGCAGCCCTGAGGTTTCCTCCCAATGACCAAGTGCAGGCAGATGCTGTGAGCCCCTGCTGCTGTGTTCTCCTGGGGGACAGCAAGGTCTGGTGGGGAACCACATGTGGCATCAGCGTGTGCACACTGTTGCCCGGCCCACAGCCCACAGGCATGGCACAGCCCGCCTCTGCCTGTCACACTGCCGGCCAAAACAGTGCTGCAGTCCCCCAGCCAGAGCAGGTTTCCAGACCGTACCCAGGAACAGTTGGTCGGTGCTTGGTTAAAACCAGACCAGGAGCTGCTCAACCAATGGTCTAGATGTCAAGTTCTGGTGCTCCCCATCACTGTCCAACTCATTAAGCACAATTGGTGTCAACCCCTTCTTTCGGCCCCAAAGCTGAGGGGGTGCAGGGAATCATTTCCAGTGGGGTACCAAAGTGTCAGCACAGAAATGCATCTGTCCTCAGGAAACCTTGGGGCAGAGGCTTAAAATGGTGAGGGGAGTGTGGTCGGGGAGATGCAGCAGATTTTCCCTCGGGCAAGGGCTGTCTTGTTTGATCTTCCCAGCTCTGAGATGCCATCCTGTTTTCCATCTTGCTGCTTACGGGGCCTCTTGAGGACATGATCTGTTTGCTTTGGAGGGGGCCAGGCACTTCCCACAAAGTTACTTTTCTTTCCTGCAGACTGTGTTTTCCCTCAGAGACCAGCAAGCAGGAAGCCCGGTGGCTGCCTGGCAGCTCATGGGCTGCCACGAGGGCTGGGAGAGGGGCGGTGGGTGGGGAAGCTAAAATAAGCTGTCTGGGGGGGGGTGGGTTGGTTTGCTCGGTCTGTGACATGCCTGGGTCTGCAGGGCGAGAATTTGTATTGGTAGGAAACAGTAGTGACTCGTGCCCGATCTCACCCCGCTGCCCCTCCAGCTGGTGGGGTCTCAGCACAATGAGTTCAAATATAGGGAATCGTCTGGGGTTTAAATGGAAGCGTTATAGATGCCGCAAGGCCTCTGATTAGAACCTGTCTAGCAATCGCTCTGTCCTGTTATAAATTCCACTCTGCTGCTGCCAATGAAGCCAGCTGACCCAGCAGCAGCCCAGGGATGCCACAGTCATGCCACAGCCATAAACTACCCAGCCTGTCATCATATTCAGGGAATGACTGTAAAAATACATTTCTCTGGGGAAACTTATGTATTGAAGTCTGAAGCAGGGCCCTGAAAATAATCAGCTCAACCTCCCTCCTAGTAGCATACCTTATCCCAGTGGAGCAATGTTTGCTGTCTCTGCTTTTGGGGTGCTGGAGCTGTTTTAATGGTGAATTTCCTGTTCCACCAACATGTTTGTGTTTCCTTTGGGCCAAGCGTATACCTCCTTCCTGCTCTCCCAGGTTGTCCTGCCTGGTATATCTGACCCAACCTGCCATTGTTTTTGTTGCTTTACAGAAGAAGATTTCTCCCCACACTGGGGGCAAAGGGTTCTGGAATCAGCCCAGGGGACTCTGAGCAGCAGGACAAACCTGTTCTGTTGGATGGCTAGATTTTGGGGGGTGGGAGCGCATTCACCAGCAGCAGCATGATTCACTGTGGTTCTTCTAGCAGAGCCAAGATCCCATGGCCACAAGATCCCACGGCTCTGCGCTGGGGTTCCCTCCAGGCGAGGCAGCAAGGCCTGTTACGAGTTCTGCAGGAAAAGGCAGGGCTGGATTTGTGAGTTGAATCTGAGGGAGCTTTTTCTGCCTAACAAGGGTGGATAGGCACCACGTGTGTGGAAGGACCCATACCCATTTGTACACTGGGCAGGCAGGGAATGCAACCATGGCAGGGTGGGATTTTGTGGGAATGGAAGCAGAGCAAGGAGGTTTTGAAACCCCAAGCCTTTGCCCAAGGAGGAGCTGTGTCAAGTCACATAAAAAAGGAAACAAGGTGTGAAACAGAAGCATTGACAACTCTCAGGGATTCTTCCTGACCTGAATGTTACATCTGGATGGGGTCCAGCTCCCCTGACTCCAGTCACACATGGGGAGGTGGCTGTGTCTGAGCAGCTGTCTGTCTTCTCGTCTCCTTCTGCCCATCTCGTCTCCTTCTGCCCATCCATGCTACAACTGCAGGCAGGGTGTCACAGAGACCAGCCAATGGCAGGGACAAGGAGTTAGCGCCACACTGCCCAGCCGCAAGAGGGTACTCAATATACTGGGGGCTCAAGGGCAGGAGTGTAGGACGTTGCACTGACCCCGCTCTCACCAGCCTGTGACCCCGGCACGTGCCGCAGAGGCTGCCTTTGCTTTGTGCCTCCTGACACTCCGTGCCTGGCCCAGCCTCAGCCTTTGGGTTTTTGTCACCGCTGCCAGTGCTGTGTGCCCGATGGGCAGCTGGACTTGGGCCAGGGGCCCTGTCACTGCAGCAGGCATCAGAGCTGGGGTGGGATCTACACCTCCCCACCGCCCCTTCCCACTGTGCTGAAGGGACCCCATGAGCTTCCCCACACCTCTGCAAGCATGGGTGCAAGAAGGGGTGTGAGACTTCCCTGGGTGGGAAGGTTCCGGCATCCCTGGGGTCCCTGCCACGTACAGCCCAGCAGCCAAACAGCATCTCCCACCCGCTGGCACAGCTCACTGTGGAACGGCCACGGGGGAGACCTCACTGGCCAAAGGCAACCCGACTGGCCGGGCAGGGCAAGAGGCGAGTTCTGGACAAGCACCGGGCAAACTCCGGGCGAGCTGTGTGCGGCGCACCAGGCAGGGCACGGGGCGAGCCGCGGGCGGGCCCCCGGGGTGCAGCAGGGTCCCGCGGGCCGCGGCAGGAGCCGGACTCGAGCAGCG